ACACTGCAAACACACACCAGTGCTCACATGACACAAATACACACATCTATGTCCTGATCATAATTAACCTATAAAAGAACCAATGCAAGAGAATATGATCCACATTGACTCGTACCCTACAGCGTCATGTTCCACAGCTGGGAACTCTTCATGTAACATGACCAACAAGAGATCAAAGTCTAGATTCTGTTAAATAAGACTACAAGCAGCTTTGAAAAACAAACAACCATCCAAACCAATCTGAGCTGGAAAATTATGGAAAAGTGCAAAAACGAGGTTTAGGTCGCTAAACGCTAATCCACCGCTGAAACCTAAAGAGGAATTAAAGCAAACACACATCCTGCTGTAAACCTGGTGACAGCTTTCCACCCTGGTCTCTACTCAAAGAGTTAATAGAACAACACTGACGCTGCAAGGTAAGGTAACCAGACACCGCCTGCATGCCTGTAACCAGGAGCAACGTCCTAGCACTCCTACAACAGGGACAGCACATGCGGAAACAGCCATTCAGACTAGTCCACTTGGCTCTCAGGCACAGGAGAGACGAGAGAATGGAGAACCAGAAATGGCAGCTTAGGAGAGGAGGGGCCGAAGGACAAGACAAAAAGTAGCTAAACAGAGAGACCGGTCTTAATGCCCTGCTTCACAATACCACCTGAAGGGCCGGCTGAGAGCTGTGCAGCACAGAAGTATGAGCACAGAAGGTACAACTAAATCTTCTGCTTGTTCACATTCTTTAAATCCAAATGATTCACCTGAAAGCTGTGGACATTCAAGTGACGCAGGACGAGCACTGAACTACAACCAGCTATAAGCCTCTGTGGGGAGCTGGGGTGGGAATCATAAGCCAAACAACAAACTGGTGCCACACCTTATTGACAAAGTTATCAGAGTACACATCACAATATCTGTGTGAGTGAATTGGAAAACACTAAATCAATTTCTCAAAAATCATTGATCAATCTGTAGCCATACTTCCTTTGTAATGAAGTACTTTCAGTTTCTAGTAATTGTATAGCCAGATGACATAAGACAGTAAAGTACGTACACACCCATTTCACAGAAATGGAGGGATATTCCCAGTACTCAAAGTCCAGATAAAGCAAAATCAGTGATTTATTTCTAAACACATCATCAATATTAGAAAATAGTTGCTGAAGATGTGTGAAATGACTGAGAACTATGTAGTGCTGAACTGTGGAATTAGACTGTTTCATCATTTTTGAGTTCAGGATTTTTTTTGGGCGGAGCAGAAATGACACCACTGGAGCCATCCTTAACATAACCCTTCCCCCAACACTATATTATAAATCCTAGAGCTCTGTGCCTGCATTTGTTTTTAGGGAGTCTTGTAAGACTGAGCACAAATAAAAAGTTACTGCCCCTTACTTTTTTTTTTTTTTTAAGAAATAACATTAATGCTGCTGTCTCAAGTGTTAAACAGTGACAAAAGTAGGAACATATGAATGGTGAATGTGTTGGACAGGTCTGAACCGACTGTAGTTGGTGACTATAGACACAAAGGAGATAATGGCCACACAGTGAACCGTGAAGCTGCTGAATCGGACAGGTCACCACAATTAGCTCTTTGCTGTTAGCCTAACAAGCTCGCAGACCTGTGGACAGCGCTTACATTTTAACTTCTCTGCAAGTTTATGCTTGTTTAGCAGGTGTTTGGTTCACTTACTCGCACTGGCTTTTTACTCAAAGGTTTTATTGCATGTACAGTAATGAGCATACAGCTCTCCGTCTCCACTGCTGCACCAATAGCTGTCTGCTTCCTGTGTGTGCATGTAGGAGCTGGGTGCTGCTCACTCTCATTTAAACACCAACACAAAGGAGAAGTCATATTTCTAAAACCATATTTCTAATCTCACTTGGTGGTCTTTGATAAAATGCTCCTGTTTGATTGAGAGTTACTACACCTCCTTCAGCCTACAGCTTGCTAGCTATGCATCTTTCCTACATGTTCTACCTTAATACATCCATGATGAGAATAGGTAGCACATTCTTTTTGATTTGGCATGGTTTCAGTGTCTTCATCCGACCTGCCCCCAGTGTTTCAGAGCAGAGAATACTGGGGGCAGGTCGGACGAAGACACTGAATTTTTTCATGATTTTGAAAGCCAATGTTGGTAATCTTTTTAAATCATTCAAATTTGTCTCGGTGGTTAATAACATCTTGTGGTGTGAAACTCAGAACCCATTTATTTCTACTTTATCCAAACTTCAAATAGAACACACCGCAACACTGCTGAATGAATATCACAAAAGGTACTACAGGGAAACAACACTTTATGCTGAAACACAAGCACTGACTTTTTGTTCCAGCTCAAATATTGAGCACATGAAGCAACAGTAATGCAGTCCACCTTTCACAAGTGTGGCTCCACTGTGAGTAACTTAGGTAAAACCTAACTGAAATTATCGTAAATCCAAGTCACAGCTGTAACAGTACCATTCAGTCCTCAGACCACTCAAGCAGGGGATCAAATTTTACTTACTGCTGGCTAACGTTAATGATCAGTAGTTGATTAATGATTAAAGCCTCTAAGATAGGGCTCCTCAGTGGCCCAAGAGCTGAGGTTCTCCCCGTGAACCTTAACGTCCCTGATTTACATGTAGCCTGGGACCTTTGTTACATGACTTTTGCCAACTTGCTACTGTCAGCTCTCTAATAAAACAAACTGCAGCAAAATAAAAGCTTATAAAATACATAACGCATGTTTTTTTTCTCCTTGGAGAATTCAGTTGACAAAGTCTATTTTTACACCAGAAGTCAGAAATTAAACGCCTGCAAATGATCCGAGCCATGAAATAAATATATAATGCCATCACTCAGAAGTCCTAATCAGCCTGCTATTATTTAACAAACGGCCAAACAAACCTGGAAAGGTGAAACTTAATTTGGCACAACTTGCCATTTGAATTGAATACGGTAAGTTCTGGATGGACATGCAGGCAGTCAGATCACATTTTTGTACTCAATGAGAACAGGGCTGTAACCTATAACCACAAATGTTTATGTCAAGCTGAAACAGGCTAGGCTACTCCTGTTATCTGATGACATTTACAGTAAGTGTTACAGGTTTCGTTTACGGACACAACCACATCTATCTGGTTAAGAATGAGTTGTGTAAAATGTTGATAAATACATTCTTGACCACTCCAACTCTTCACCGTGATCAACGCAACATCAACTATTCATCAACACTGCAAGCACACCTTTCAAAATGCTGGGAAATGGGAGAAGACAGTTATTAACATTAAAACTCTGTCCCTTAAAAGAGCTAGCCTACTATATTTTTAGAAGGGACCCACAGGAAGAACAGACAACTAATAGAAACTGGGACTATTCTGGATCTCTCACTCCCACTGCATGTCCTCATTAATTGTACAGCTTTTTTATTTGGGGGATGGCTGCTTCTCTTTTGATCCTGTTATGCAACACAGCAGGCATGTACTTGTAATGCGAGAGTGTGTTACAGTATGTTCTCATGGATGGTGAACACACAGACCCCCTCCCCAGTAATATTAATGTATTGCACACCGGTGTGAGTTTGATGAACGGCGCATGGTGTTTAACATTTCCTCCACAACCCTCCTCCCATTTTCTACATGCAAAATTTACTGTAATTACACTGCATGGTAGTGGGGCTGGGGAGTGTGTCCATACACACCCTTACTTCAAGCTGAATGTTACTTTCAGACTTAGTGATGCACCAGTAAGCCAGAGTCAGGGGGACTCCGGCTATAGCCCATGTGCTCTGTTGTAGCTACTCGTCCTTAGTACTGGCCTCTCATCAGAGGCCCATGGATGCCTGGGCCCCATCCCCTGAGAATACTCTCTAGGCAGTCTGCACAGCATAAACTACCATGCACCCTCCACTTCCTCCCCCCTGACTGACCTTGTACAGCTAACAGGGGGGCTCCTCCTGCTCCAAATGAACGACTTGCTATAGGATGCCAGCAGAATTACTGGTAACAGATCTCAGCTGATCAGTGGAGATGCAGGAAATCAATCATTTGCCAACACTTCACTTGTGTGTTTAGAGCAGTTAAGCGTTATGCACAAACATAAGTGTCCTTCATTGGGTTACAAAGGGGGCACAGAGCTGAAAGCATGATTTGGTACGGAAACCAAAAGGTTCCCTTCACCTACCCACATCGTTATTCAAGATGCTGCCCGAATGGTCTGGCATGTGAAACAACAAGATCTCACATGGACACGAATGAAGCATCATCATTAGCCTTTTATAGCAGGAGGCAAACCTACACCACAATATTGTCATTTTTCATTTAAGTCTCTTTCAATTAGCTTCCTGCCCATTCAGCTGATCCCATTTCACATGGGTTTCAACGAGCTTGGTGAGTCAGTGGACACTGGAGGCTTGTTTTTTTATTTAAAGGAAATATGAAGTAAGAGCATACTACAAGTTATACCACTTAATTCTTGTCATAGTCCAACCTGAGACCTAAAGCTCACAGTATCACCTCACTGTAGTTAAAGCATTACTGCAACATGCTCCAGTACATAAGCAAAGATTTACAAAAACACGTAAGAAATGTGCCATTAAGCAGCACTGCACAGCTACTACTATGAAGAGAGAGGGGAGCATTTGCTAACATTTACTCTTTCAAATGAGAAACTAATTTATAGGCTGTCTTTAGTCAGCAGGGAAACAGACCTGTGGGCAGCTATG